GACTCCACAGCTCAGAGGGGGCATTGGTCGTGGTTCCATTACCGCATTCATTGAATGGTGCCCCTCTTGCCTCACGCACAAGCGGTGACTACGGAGGAACAAAGCTGCCATTGAGACAACCCCCTCCCCACCAACACTCAGGGCAGTCGGGAGACGGGGCTCGGCTGGCAGACAAGGCCGTCTTTCTCTGGCAGGTCCAGCTGGCAATCCCTGGCTCCTCCCCATCCCCGTGGCCGGACTCCACACTAGCACAACGCTTCCAACTGGCTCCAAGGGCCGCTTAGCAGACGGCACACTGCGACGCTCTGGTCAGCGCATGCACGGTGGCGGCAGGCAGGGAAATATGCTGCCAGGAATGCACCTGTGCCTTGATGTGACTTCAGACTGCACCTGAGCTTGGCCTCTGGGGCTCCAACCCTGGCCTGGCGAGGCCGAAGATGAGCCGAGAACGTTGAACCTTGGGGTGTTTCAGAGGGGAGTCTTGGTGCTGGGCTGTAGTAGAAGGGCTGGGTTCAAGTCCTGCAGTACCTCAGAGCCCAGGCCAACAAGATCCGGGGGAAGGACCTTCTAAGAGTTGAGGTGTATCTGAGGAAGAAGGGAGCTCGGAAGGTCGAAAGTTCACGCCCCGAAAACCTTGGGTGTGTCTCTAAGGCGGGCTGCCAGACTCGAGTGGGGCAGGCCTCGGAACAGGCCAAGTGCCAAATTATCTTAAATCCAGATTGGTGACAATCAGTGTCGCCTCTCAGCTGAGTGAGAGTGAGCCAGCCCACAGTTCTTTAGCCTCCGGCTCACCCGTTTTTGTCTCGCCTCAGGAAAGAGGGCTCCAGAGCAAACTAATAATCTATGCAGCGGCCAAGTCAGCTCGCTCACCACTTTAATGCCCGCAGCTCACAAAGTAGAATTTTTGCTCACCAGACTCCACGGCTTAGAGGGAGCATTTTAATCCTGTCCCACGGCAGCCGGGACTTTTTTAGCCTCCAGCTCATACATTTCTGTCTTGGCTCAGGAAGGATGGGGCTCCAGAACAAACTAGTTGATGCTGCAGCCAAACCGCTCGCTCACAACCCTAATGCCAGTGGTCCACAGAGTAGGGTTTTTGCTCACAAGACTCTACAGCTTAGAGGGAGCCTTGCTCCTCACAACAGGGTCCTCCTAGCAGCCCCCTTCAGCTCAAGACTGCAGTGTGTTCCCTCTAGGAGGCGTGAGTGTGAGCTAGCTCACAGGTGTCTAGCCCTTGGCTCACACACTTTCGTCTCAGCATGGGAAGGAGGGCTCCAGAGCAAACTGATGGATGCAGCAGCCCAATCGCTGGCTCACGACTTGAGTGCTAGTAAGTTCACAGAGCACGCTTTTGGCTCACAGGACTCCACAGCTTAGTGGGAGCATGTTTTTGTTGTTCAGTCGCACAGTTGAGTCCGACTCTTCGCGACCCCATGGACAAGATCTCGCCAGGCCCTCCTGTTTTCCGCCGTCCTCTGAAGTTGGCTCAACTTCATGTTCCTTGCATCTATGACACTGTCTGACCGTCTCATCCTTTGCCGTCCCCGTCTCCTTTGACCTTCGGTCTTTCCCAGCATCAGGGTCTTCTCCAGTGAGGGCTCCCTTCTCATTGGGTGGCCAAAGTCTTTGAGCTTCAGTTTCATTATCTGGAGCATAGGTGAAGATGGAATGGGGGGCTGGGCGTGCCGCGTGCGTCAGAGAAGGCCCGCGGATCTATCTCGCTGCAACTCCCTCAGCTCCACTGTTTGCGTAAGCAAAGCAGCCTCCTCCCCCCCC